TTTATTAATTAGTAGTGAAGAAGATACTGTTTTAGATCTTCATGTAAAAGTTTATACCAAGAAGTAGAGAATAATGTTGCCTACAGAGAAGAGAAGCTATTTCATTGTTTTAAGTTACTGCTGTCATTTACTTTACAAAAATTTCATTACTTTTTTACCACATCGTGACATGTCGCCTGTTATTCGTGCCAGAACTGCATATTATAAAACTCTGTTGGAATAAGGCTATATGCATTTTTATCCTAGTAAAGAGTTCTGTGTAATAAATTATTAGCATTTTTTAAATTTATTTTTTTAATGTCAAGATTTTTTCATAGGCTTTTCTGCTTTGTGTTTAGCTTATAATTAAGGCAGTGTTTCTTGCTTTAAATATCTAATGCAGCAGAAAACATTCAACTGGTTTTATACACAGACCTTTTGCAGAAAATGATAGAATTATTCCAGTGTTTTCTAACACTGTTTCTACACTGAATTAAGGCAATGGACAAAGCTTATATACCAGAATGATGCTTTCTGTGCATAAAACACACTGTGAAATATCAGCCCTGTCACGAATCTGCCCACTGAGAAGCAGAGAAGGAAGGCAGCATAACAAGAAATGACCTGCAAGTGGAAGAAATGGGAATACAATCCAGGTTTATGAAGCCTCGTGCTAAACTTCTACCCCTTGGTCCACACAACGAAAACTGAACAGCTCATCTTCATTCTGCCATGTGAGGTGTTTCAGAAGGTGTATTACAGAAGTCTCTGGATTATAGCATTTAAAAAAAACCAACGATTTATTGTATCTACAATGTTTTGGGTTGGTTTTTTTTCCCAAGATTATAATATTCAGGCTGTTCTCCATGGAGGAGGATATTTCCTGGCATGGCACAGTGCAGCAGTAGGCAGAGCTACCTGGGCTAGCTGTGTGTTCCCACCAGCCCTGTTGAGCACTGACGGATACACGCTTGGATGGAGCACTGCACCGCTGAGCTTGTCTGGCTTCCTGGGACAGCACGATCTGACTTGATGTGTTGGGTCTGTCTCAGATGGAATTAACACTCCCCATGGCCATCCTCATAGGGCTGTGCTTTGTGCTGGGAGGTAGAAAGGTGTTGTTAACAACCAGTGTTTTGGTTACTACGGAGCAGTGCTCACACAGCATCAAGGCGGTCACTCCAATGTTCCCCTCTCCCCGTAGGGTGGGGATGGGCAGGATCTTGGGAGGGGACATAGCCAGGACAGCTGACCCAAACTGACCGAAAGGATATTCCATGCCATAGGATGTCTGCTCAGTAATAAAGGCTAAGACAAAGCAGGGGGACGGGGCACAGTCACTATGACAATGTCTGTCTTCCGGAGCCACCGCTACATGTACTGAACCCCACTTCCCAGGAAGTGGCCAGACATTGCTTGCTGACAGGAAGCAGAGCATAATCTTTTGTTTTCCTTTGCTTCCATGTGTGGACTTTGCTTTTGTGTTATTAAACTGCCTAAACGTGACCCACGAGGTTTTTTTTTCCATCTTATTTGCTCCCTGCCCTGTCCTGCT